TTTCTATTATATAGGTTAACATTTTCAGTGCAGACCATTTTTTAACATCATCTTTCTCAATTTTCCCTGCTTGAAGATGACGTCTTAATCGTTTAATTTCGGGTATCATTTCATTTTCTTCTAGTTCATCAAACGTTTCTGTCAGATTTGGTATCAGCTTTGAAAGTTCTTCTATTTCCATTCCAATAAGATGTGATGATTGAATGGCTGCAAATTTTACATATACATTTTGCATTGATTCTATCCTTTTTCTAAGATCTTGATAAAAATTATCAAGTGACTGAAACATTGATTGTCTCAATTCCTGTTTCAACGTTAAAGCTTCATCTTTACTTTCTTCTCCAGGCATAAGCTTTCTTTGACTTTTTCGACCCAATTTTTCTGTAGCTATTCCCATTTCTTCACAAATTTTTGTAGAAAATATCAATGCATTTTCAACCAATTCATCGCGACTCTCATGCAGAAAAAGTTTTAAGGTATCTAATTTTTCAATGGTTTTATCTAAACCAATTCCTTCTGTTTGCAAGTATTTTTGAGCATGATTGACTTTCTCAAGAGTACTGCTCCAGAAATGAAGATAAGCAAGAAATTTGAAATCTTGAATATTTTTCATTAAAATTTGAGCTGAATCTCTCGTATCTACATTTTCTGATGGATCACATAATTTTTCTAAAGCCTGTACCAACTTGCTGAAATGATTCATTACAGGTTTCACCGCATGATACTGCTCACTCCACCTGGTTCCTGCTAGCCTTTTTGCAGTGATCCCGACTATTTCTGACAATATATCCCATCTATGAGTTGATGAAGAAAAGAAGTTGTAAATGCTTTCAATTGTTCCAAATAACGTTATACAAGTTGGATTGCTTCCAAATGCGTGAACCCCGCTCAAGTTAAGTGAATGATTAGAAAAAGGTACAAATAAAATTTTCTGATTTTCTGATGGATCCTGGCTTGTACCCCAGAATGAACACCTGGCATTACCGAAGCATTGTCATAACCTTGGCTTCGACAAACCCTCTTCATCAATAATATTTACAATTCTTTGTGTGATATCAATAGCCTTCTTTCTGGCAAGAGGAAAAAATACTAAAAATGATTCTCTTACCTCTACATTTTTGTTTTTTATATGAACATATCTAATAATCTCACTTAATTGGTCTTGGAGAGATATATCAGGTGTTGAATCAAACATTATCCCGTAATACCGTAATACTTTGCTTGCTTTACATCATCAATAATTTTCTGTTTCACAGTATCTCCCAATATAGAAATAAATTCATTCTGAATTTTAGGGGAAAGATATGAAATCGTGTTTCCTGCCTTGCTATGTTGGACCCTCACTAAATGTTCTTTTAAGACAGGGTCGTAGTGTGAAATTAATTCAACTAACTCTAAGAAATTGCCTTTGTTGTTAGAAAAGTCATCTTCTCTGTGGCCTCGAAAAAGTAAATTTTGTTTTGCTAGAAACATGGTGACATCCAATAAGCGGTGTAAAATGTCATTCCATTTTTTAGTTTCCAGTTCTCGATTTTCTTGATGAACGGCATCAATGGTTTTATTAAGATTCAAACTTAGTTCTAATGTTTTCCATTTTTCATGATTGTTTAAGTGAATTTCAAAATTTTCGTGATGTGTAATCTTAGGGTTTAGTTTCCACCAATTATTAAACCCTGTAACAAATTTTGAAAAATTATTACTTTCTTTATCACAAGCAGCAAAAAGTCGACAACAAAAGCAAAATAAAATTTTTTGGAAGGAGAATAAACCATCCACTTTCTGAGAACTTTTTCACCATTTGGAAGATGCTTGTAGAACCAATGCTTTGTCAACTGTCGAGTTTGATCCTTTGTTTGCTTCCCTACTCTTTGAACCACTCTAAATGGTTTAGAGTGGTTCAAATCACTGGAAATATTTACTCTTTAGTTTTACTATACCGATTCTGATGTTATCTGATAACGGAATTGTCCAATTCCCCACATCACAATTTATAAAAAATATCATTTTCACTAGAAAAATTGATTTCATCCTCGCATTGTTGGTTTGACGTTTCAGTTTCGGTGGTTGTTTTTCCTTGGTCAGATTCTACGGTTGTATCTAAATCAGTCTGCTGACTTGATGAACTAGCAATAATGGATTCTGGTTTGGCAACTTGGTTAACAAATTTAAGCATTGATCCAGACAGAGCTTCGGTTTCTTCCCTTCTACTTTTCAAAATTTTTCGTTTTTGTGCTCCACTTAGATGATGTCTCTTCATGATCACGTATCTATCTAAAAGTTGATAGTGTTTTAATTCTAATAATTTATTTTAACTTCAGGGCTTAAAATATAATTTAAAAAATTAAAAGTGAAAAAAAATGGTGTAACATCAGTCACGTAAACCGAGGAGAACAGATATCCGTCTTTACCTATCAACACTTTGTGTACCTTAGATTTAAACTAGTGAGTCAGTACCGGTGGGTGAAAGTATATTTTCTGTTTTTCTTACCTGAAAGATAGTAGTTATATTTAAACTTATTAAAGAAGAGATTGATAAATATATAAATAAAATTTAAAACTCACTCTAATAAACCAAACGGAACAGACAACAAAAAAAGTTTGAAAAAGGCGACTCGTCCAAAAACTATATCAACCAATCACATTCAAGTATAATGATGTCAATGTCCGACTAAAAATAGACGTGGATTACCAATTCGGTCAGGATTTTAAAAAAGCGTTTATTCTAACTAAGTATATGCATTACTACAGATTATTTATAAATAAATATATTAAAAAATCAAAACACAAAATCACGTCTATACACTTACTAAATAAATAAATTATTTAAAAATTTTCGTAATTGGCTTTTTGGGAGGCCCCCTCCAAATCGGAGGCCCTGGGCGATCCGCCCGCCTCGCCCCCCCCCTCGGTACGCCAGTGTGCTTGTCACCAAGTTGTTTGGAAAAATATTGTAAATAACAACAACAAGCAAATGATATCCAACTTGGCAAAGAGTACAAATGATTGAAACAATATCAGCAATAAAATAAGCAGATAACTTCTTCAGTTATTAAACGACCAATACTGATATTAACATAGTGACAATAGTAACGATGGTAGGAGTGGTGAATGTCGTTGAGCAGATAGATAGATGATCCATGATTCTTGTGGTCGCGTTGGTTGATCGCCGTATCGTGAACTGTGAATAATTTTCAAATCTGTACAACTTCATCACATGGAGAACGAAATATATTTCTCCTACATGTAGGTAGGCCTAAATACTATTTTTCTACGTGTATAAATCGTACATTCAGTTTTATTAACATCCAAATTTTGTTTATTTTGAGTGAAGAAATATATTTGGAAATATTCAAAAATGTAACTTGTATATTTTTAATCTTTCGTCACCTTTAAAAATCCTCTCGTGACAATCTCTGACAGTTTCATTGTTTCCTGTTTTTTTTGCGTGTGTTCCACCTTGTTGAAACAGCTTGGTTACATATAATTTTGCCATTTTTTAACCAACAACGCTTAATCCCACATTCCCTGTGTCCAGCTCCACTTGATCCCGACAGCCTGATATAAATTTTACAATCTCACTCATCAATGAAAATTAAGATAGATTGCTGAAAAAAAAATTCAATTTATTTTTAAATTGAAAATTTTGTTTCAACGTTCAATAAAAATGTAATTGAAATAACGAAAGCCAGTTTCACATCTCATGAGACAAATGAGATTTAGGTCGTAGGTAGCAATGACTTGCACTTTATTGTCGTCACGGACATCAGGTGTCACGAAATCTTCGTTGATAGTTGCTGTTGTGAAAAATTTCTGATGTGTCTTGCAGCAAAAAACTCTTTATTCATTTAAAACCCTGTAAAATAGTTGTCTAAAAACGTCTGCAGAGGAGTCGCAATGGATGAAGGGTGCATGAAGCTGAAGCAACAACCAAACATTTCGTTGTCGTTCTCGCTCCTATCAATAATTGCATGTTGACATTTGAAGATATTGAAACTTCAAATTATTTATTATTGTTGGGAATACGAGTGAATCCATGCACCAGACACACACACTGTATGTGTTACCGTGTCTGTTGCCAGTGTGCTAATATTTTAATATGTTGAAAACATTTAATTCTCTTATTCAAAATTTATTGCGGTCCATTGCTGAAAATAATTTTTTTTTATTTGTTGAGCTCCTCTTTAGGAGGTGTATTAATATATATATATTGAGGTACCTTCATTAAAACAAAATTTCATATAGCAAGTAATAATTTTGAAAACTGGTGAATGAAACGTAATTCAGAAAATTAATTAATTATTGAATGTTAATTAATTTATTATCATAAATTATAATTGATGAAGCAAAAAAATGCTCATATAACACTTTTTTTGTGTGAGATGTGGTTGAGACCTGGGGCATGAAATTAACGGACCTGCTGATGGATATGAGAGTGACACAGAATGCATTTCAAAAATGTTGAACTGCAATGAAGTTATGCAAGGTTTGCTGCTAATTTGTAGAAATATGCATGAGTACATATGTTTGTCCTATCTGTAGGATCCTTCGTTGGTTAACTAGCCAGTGATGAGGTTTAATTGGGGTGGGATCGTTGTAATAGCATAAACAAATAAATCATCTTTTTTTTTTAATTTTTATTTTGTTGTGTTCTGCTCAGTCTATTGATTTTTCGCATGTTTCAGAAACATCAAGATGAACGGATTTGAAATATTGACTTGTAATTCTTTGATGCTGCACGTTGCGTGGTGACTTACCTTCCCATTTGCAGTCAACGTCATGCATTTATGAATTTCTAAAAAGCATTGAGGAGAAAATCATTTCAGAAATTCGTCAACAAGCCAAATTGTATTATTTTCTTTTGAATTTATTTTGACAAAACGGAATAGGTTTTTATAATTAACTATTTTTACTGAAGGGCAAAAGTATCAACAACATTAAAATTAATTAATTAAATAATGTTTTGTAATCAATCAAGACACTGACCACTGACCAACTCGCAGGTAAACTCCTTCTTCCTGGCCAGCATCGTGTGGGTCCTCATCACGAAACTGAGATCGTCCAACCCCGGACAGAGTGGTCTCTACAAGTGAGCCGCCTCCATCATATTTCCTCACATTCATCACCATCTTCTCCGCCATATCATTTGAAATATTTTATAATCTGTCCGTACAATTGTCGCACCCGATAGATATGCCAATTCACTTATTAATAATTGAGATCGCGTCTTATTTAATTATCCATTTATTCAACCATTCATTTGCTTTTTCATTCATTCATCTACTGATTCATCCATTTGTTCATTCGCTCAAACGTTCGTTCGTTCATTCATTCATTCATTTACTTATTTATACTTTCATTCTTTCAATCATTTTCTATTTCTCTTTCATTAATTATTGATAAAATTTCGTATACTTTCTCACTAAACAACTACTTGCAAGTTATTTGTGTTAGGTGGGCCTGACACAACTGGGCAGCACTGAAATGCTCCATAATTATGTTTCATTGTTGGCACGCATCTCATTGAGATATTCACTTCACGATAAAGCCAAGCCTTACGTTCATTACAGCCTCACAACTTATTTTGAACCGCTGCAGAAAAGCGACGAAAGCGACTTTCGTGTTGTTTCCACTGCTGGGCCTCACCTACCTGCTGCTCCTCTGGACTGGCGACAAGCACGACATCTTCTTCTCCTGCCTCAACGCCATCCTGCATTCGACACAGGTTTGCCCTCTTTCCACATCTTCTCACCTCATATCGTCTTAACAAATGTTTGACATCATACGCGTGTTATTTGCATACATGAGGGCAGTTTGTTGTGCAAATAAAGATGAATGAATGGTCGGTAAGTAGCCCCGACACGCATTCAGATGTGCACAACATACACGTACATTTCTGTGCGTACAAACACGAACAAACACAACACGCATATACACACACACAAACATATATACCCATGTCATATTAAACAAAAATCAGGGTAAAGAAATCGTAGTTTGTACACACAGCAAATGCACATCTGTACACACTCTCTGTGGACATAATCATGGAGCACATGCGTCTCTACAAAAATGCAATCGGATGAATACTTTCAAAATGTTCTTTGATGTGGCGTTCAGTTGAGGGCCATCCTCAATACCTCAGTTGCTTCTCTTGGCCCTCGTGTTCTGCTGTCGTTGATTAAGTCGTTGCTGTTTATAAAAATTGCTATTGTTGATGTTGTGTTGGTTGTGTTTTTTTGTTGTTGTGTTGCTGTTGTTATGTTGCTGTTGTTGTTGTGTTATTGTGGTTATGTTGTTGATATTGTGTTGTTGCTGTGGTTGTGTTGTTGTGTTTTTGTGGTTAGGAGTTCATCGTTTCATAGTTGTTTCACTATGCTGTTGCTTTTATTATTTGCTGCTCTAGTTGTGCAACTCACTTCGGCTGTTGCTGAACAAACTACTACCCTCATATAACATGATGTGTGCTACTGTCGTAAGGTTGTGGCGTTGTGATGACGATGCTGTTGTTGTTTTTGTGTTGTTGTGGTGATGTAATGATGTCGTGCGGTATTCAGCATATATTATTATTATAACTTGCATTCAGGTGTTGTTTTCATGTTTTTCTTTGAAAATGTTAAAAAATGGAGATCTTTGTTTATTATTTCCATCACAGTTGACAACAGTTGGCAACAGTTGGCAACAGTTGACAACAGTTGACAACAGTTGACAACAGTTGACAACAGTTGATTGCAATTTTTACTTACCGACATGCACAGAGCTGCTTATAAATCGTTTTCCACTCGCTTAGTTGGAATTAAACTTTCGCGCCAATACTCTTACCACACGACGTACCTGCAAAGTTTGCAGACTTGAATCTCTTGTAGACCACCCGCTCTTGAACCAAGTCATCGAGCAACATTCTGTCACTGTCATTACCACTACCAACCACCACCACACCACACCACACCACTACCAACCACCACCACACCACACCACAACTACCACACCAAACCACACTACAACTACCACCACATCTACCATCACCCCACTATCACCATCAACCACCACCAAAACTTCCACCATAAAAAATCTTTCTGCACTGCTTTAGGAAGGCAATTTCAGTAAGAGGTTTAGTTTTTAACAGCTTTGATGCTGTGATGTTTTTAATGCGATTTTGATGTCATCATTGTTGAAGCGTGCAACTAACTTGTATGTTATATTCTGATGTGATGCTGTTGTTGTTGTGTTGTTGTTGTTATTGTTATTGGTATTGTTGTGTTGTTGTTATTGTTGTTGTTGTTTTTGTGGTCGTGGTTTGTGAATGCAGTATTTAGACATGATGTGATGTGTTTGGTGAGATTATTGGTGAGATTATGTTTATGGTTTATTTGTTGTTGTTGTTGTTGTTGTATTGTTGTTGTTGTTTTGTTGTTGTTGATGTTGAACTTTTTCAATTTTTTGTATTGCTGTCATTATGGTGTTGATGATATGTTGTTGTTGTGGTTGTTTTTGTTGTTGTTGCTGTGTTGTTGGTGTTATAATTTTAAATGTTGATGTTTTTAGAATGGTAAAATGATTTGATATTTAACACGTTATCCTGGTGTGATGTTTTGCATCGTGTCGTTTTTGAAAAACTGACTGTTGTTGATGTAATGATGTTGTTAATGTGTTGTGGTTATTGATGTAGCAATGTGTTGTGACTGTTGTTGATGTAATATTGTTGTTGACGCATTGCTGTTGATGTAATACGATTATTGTGGTATTGATGTTGATGTAATAATGTTGTTGTTATTGTATTGTTGTTGGTGTATTGTTGTTGTTTTATTGTTGTTGATGTAGTAATGTTGTTGATATAATAATGCTGTTGATGTTGTTGTATTGTTGTTGATGT